CCAGCCCTGCACCTTGTTGTCTCGGATTCTCCAGCATCTGCAGTTCCTACTACCCAAGATTCAACAATATGTTGGTCTTCCAGAAATATTTAAGTTGTATACTGGCAAGCAATTGTTTGTTCACAAATGTATTGGTGTAACTAATCTTAATACAAAAAAAATGCTGGTTGTATTCCAGGAATCCAACAACATTGTTTCTTTTAAAATGAAACACAAAGGGTTTTGGAAGGAAAAAGATGACAAATGCTCATCAAAATCACAAACTTGCCAACTGACCTGAACAGAATCTGTAGTGTGGTTAGTTGGTTGACCACTTTTGCCATACCCTTGACCATGTGCTGTGAGTAATCTTCCACAAAGATCAACTGCAGCTCTCCAGTTCTTTGTATTCTGTTAACATTGAAAGAAAAGTATCCCATCATCAACATCAACATCTAGTCAGGATATTTCAAACAGGGGTACATGTTACAGCAGTGAATTCTACATTAAAAGAAGGCTACTTTTAAGAAAGATTGATAGTTTTTGTTCAGGGTAAACACAAGTTATCCAATAGGGAGTAGTAGAACATGAAGTAACTTCAATGTCAATCAGAAATGCCAGAGTCCTGGGTAAGGAAAAATCTCGGTTTTAATTCACCCAGAAACATTGAATAGTTCTTCTAAGAGCACTGAAATATGAACAAACAACACAGGAAAGGTAGGTAATTTGGCACCTTGAGCCACCTCTGCCATTCACATAGACCACGGTTGATGGTTTGTGTTAGGCCACAACATATAGGAGCAGCACTAGGCCATTCAGCCTGAACAATCTGCTCAATTATTCAACAAGATCGTGGATGATCTGATGATACACGACTCCACTTTCCTGTCTTTCTCCTGTAACCATTGATTTCATTACTGATTAAAAATCTGTCAACCTCAGCCATGACTATACTTAATGATTCAGTCTCAACAGTCCCTACAGTAAAGAATGCCACAGATTCACTATCCACAGTTGAAATTCATCCTTAAACGGGTGATCCCTTACTTAGATTATGACTTCTGGTCCTATTTTCCCTTACAAGGGACAAACAACATTTCTGCCTCACATCTGCCCTGTCAAATCCACCAAAATCTTGCATGTTACAATTATGTCAGCTCTAATTCTTTTAAACAACAATGAGCACAGACCCAACTTACTTGAACTCTCCTCATAAAGACAGTCTCTCCTGAATTGGGAACAACTGAGTGAATCTTCTCTGAACCATCTCTAGCATTGGTATATCTTTCCCTCGATAAGGGGATAAAAATAATTCATGGCATTCCAGCTGTGGTCTAACGAGTGCCATGTGTAATTTTAGCAAGATTTCCCTAATTTTATTCTCCAGTTCCTTTGAAATAAAGGCCAACATTTCAGTTGTTTTCCTTATAACCTGATGAACTTACATGCTAGTATGTCTTTTTAAAACGATTATGCACCAGGGCTTCTGTTTTGCAACTTTCTGCAGTGTTTTTCCTTTCAAATAGTATTCTGTTTTTTTCTGTCAAAGTGCATAACCTCACTTTCCCACATTATATTTCATCTGTCAAGTTTTTGCCCACTCATTTTACTTGTCTATATTCCTCTGCAAACTCTTTGTATTATTTTTACCATTTGCCTTCTACCTAACTGTGTCAACTGCAAACTTAGCTATTGTACATTCACCTTTATCCAAATTAATACATATATTGTAAATAATTGTGACACCAGTATTGATAACTGTGGCACTGAAAATGCACCCCTTATCCCAACTATCGGTTAGCCACTCCTCTATGCACATAATAATAACATAATATAATATAATACTTTCAACACAATGGGTTCTTTTGAATTCACATTCTCACCTAAAAGAATGTTACCTTACATAATAAAATTCTAAACGCAAGGTCCATTACTTACTATTAATTGCTTGAGTCCCACAAAGGACTGCTCCACAGCATCTGCAGTCAAAGCTTGTCTCTTCATTGCAGCCTGTTCTCCCAAAAACCGCAGCATTACTTCCTTGACTGCATCACCCTGAAAGGATCAGAAGACATCCAGACAATTGATTAGTCAGTTATTTATGCCAGATGAAACAACTTTTAAAAAGCTACCTTCAATTGCACCCTGGAATCTTGAATTGCACATGCTATTGGGAATGGAGCAAAACAAGTCTTTTGCATTCTCTGCATTTACATTTAACATTAACACAAGAATGATTCATAAACTATAACAATACTATTAAAAAATCTTACACCACATGTATTTCCTTTGTTATAAATTTGATGTCCATACTGGAGACAAACTACCCATGTAAATTTGTCATTTTATCAAAAAACAAACTTGATCATGATCCTGTTTGTAATAATGCTTTTTGTTTATCCATGGAACATGAGCATCAGTGGCTGGAGGTCAGCATTTGTTTTCCATCTCCTACTGTCCTCAAGAAAGTGGTGGTAAGCTGCTTTCCTGAACCATTGCCGTCTTTGGGGTGTAGGTACACTCAATGGGCTGTAGGCGATTTGACCCAGTAACTGAAGGAATGATGACATATGATAAGTGATGAATGGTGTACCTTGTTGATGGCACTATTTAGTAGTGGAAGGAATTAACAAAGGTGGTAGATGGGGTTTCTTATTCCAGACAGCGTTGAGTGTCATTGGAGCTGCACTCATCCAGATAAGTATATCATAGCACACTGGTGACTTGTGCCTTGTTGATGGAGGGCAAATTTTGGGGAGTCAGAAGGTGAGTTGTTTGCCACAGACTTCCAGCTTCTGAGCTGTTTTTGTACCCACAGTATTTATGTAGTTGATTCAGTTCAGTTTCTGGTCAACGGTAAGCCCAAGATTGATAGTCAGGGATTCAGTGATAGTGTAACTGAATGTCATGGAGATGATTAGATTTTCTTTTGTTGGAATTAATCACTGCATACCCTTTGCGATATATACTCAACCCTAGCCTGGTGCCGTCCAGGTTCGTGTACTACATTCATGCACAAACTGCCTCATATCTGAGGAGTTATAAAAGGTGTTGGGCACTGGGCAATTATAAGGGAACCTTCCCATTTCTGATAATGTGAAGATCATTGCTGAAGGAGCTGAAGATGGTTGGGCTGAGGACACGATCCTAAGGAGCTCCTGCATTGACGTTCTTGGGAAATGATTGATCTCCAGCAGCTACAATCATCCACTGATATGTTAGTTATGAGTCCACCAGAGGACAGAGATTTTTCCTCATGTCGTTGTAATAGAATTTTGGTTGGAAGCCCCAATGACACATCAAGTGTTGCCTTGACATCAGTGGCATTTTCACCTCACCGCTAGAATTCAGTTCTTTTGTCCAATTTTATATCATGGTTGCAAGTAGGAATGGCAGAACTCAAGCACAGCAAGAGCTGCTTGATAGCACTATCAATGATATCTTTCATCACTTGACTATAAACACAGGGACATTAGAATTTTCTTTACCTAGATCATTGGCTACTCCTCAAACACAGCAAGTTCCACATGCTCCCAGTCTTGTGCCTTACATCATTCTCTAACTGATATTTCTTGAGATGTAAACTTATTATTGCTTTCATTAGAAACTTAAGGGGACTGCAACTTCCAGATTGCTCTCACCCACTAACAGATTTACTTCAAAAACACTTTCAGCAAGATGGTATTAGGAAGTAATACATCCATGCTTACAACTCCCCATAATGCATATGTCATTTACATATTCATTTATATGTAGGACACACTATGTAATCCAGTTGTTTCCTGTATGGATGTAGCGCAGTTAAACTGCACAAGTTTGTACTTTATTCTTTCCCATTTTTCAGCTACACATTTAAACCATTGTAAGTTCACTGCAACATATTATTTTTTAACTATGTATACTGAATCACTTAACCTCACTTAATGGTATTGGAATTACCTCCTGTATGAAAACTGATGAAGAATCTATTCAATTTTACTGATTATCTGCAGCAGGTTTTAGTACAATACATCCTTAAAATGGGACCACCTGTTTGTTGCTGCTGTCAGTTTGGCATTTTTGGAGGCTGTTCCTGTTTCTCTGTAGAAGTTCATCTCTGCTTATTAGGCTATTGCATTCAATCCTACTCCAGGATGTGAACATGTTATGTGAGGCTGACAGCATAATAATAATTTTCAGATGGCAAGTTTAGGTCTAATCTGCCCTTTCAGGTAGACATCTTGCATTCATAATCCTAAATTTAGCATAGTGGTTTAATAGTTAAGGAAAGACAGGGTCATTGCACTTTTTTTAAAAGGTGGAATAGAAGACTGGATGACCACTTTATGGAACACCTATGTTCTGTTCGTAAAAATGACCAAGCTTCCAGTTGTCTGCCATTTCAACTCAACACGATGTTCCCTAGCCGACATTTCTGTCTTGGGCTAGTTAGTGCTCCGGTGAGGCTCAGCACAAGCTGGAAGAACAGAACCTCAGTTTCCACTTGGAAACCCTGTAGCCTTCAAAACTCAATGGTGAGTTCAATAGTTTTAGAACCTGAACACCTCATTCTAATGTCCTTTATCCACAATATCACAACCCAGGTCCCATCATGACACGAGCTGCTTTCAGCACAGCCAACCCATTTTCACCTACTTATGGTCCTCGTTATCAGCTTTTCTCCTTCCTTGGCTTACCATTATCTATCACTTTGTCTGACTAACAGTCTCTTTCCCTCGGCTCCATCACCACCTACTCCTTTCTCCGTCATTCTGTCACATCTTTTCCTACCTACTACCAATTTTGAACCAATATTAACTCTGCTTTATCTCCACGAATGTTCCTGTTCTCTAAGACCCTCCATCACTGGAAACAAGCTGTTTTTGATCTACAAATAAAGACAGAGCATCTGTAGACAGAACCAGCTTCTTGATTTGGAGTTAAATATGACTGCTTCAGAACTTCAGTCTACTTTTCCCTATCCTCAATTTTAAACACCTCTATCAATTAATCCCTTGGATTTGTAGCCTTTGCTAGAGCCTAGCAGGACTCAACACACCAGAAAAGTGATCTATTAATTCTCAGAAGTGTCATAAAGCTTCCATTGCGCTATCCAAGTGAAAGGCAGTGACAAAGAAGGCAAAGACAACATTCTGCATAAAAATTTAAGTATCTAATTCTGAAAAGAAGCAAACTCAAATAGGGAAAAAAAGGAACAGCAGGTTGGATGTCTTTTAGAATTTTTCTTATACACAGCATAGCATTTACATTCAAATAATTAATTTTTCCCCAATAAAATGCTAGTCTGGAACACATCAAGTGTGGTATATGTTGTAAAATCAATATGAACACAAACAAAAACTGACTTACTTGCACATTGTCAAACTTCAAACCTGGCATGGTTAATTTCTCCTTGTCGATAAACACTGTGCTGTACTGCTGGGTAGCGACAGAAATGAGAATCTTCCTAGTGTCCTCAGAAGGAAGCCAAGCATCATATCGCCTATCTATCTCACTCATATTCAATGCTGTTGCAAAGGGATCATCACTTCCTGCAAATGCTGCTTGGATCTGGGTAAAAGGCTTAGGTGACAGAGGTATTTGCATAAATGAGGCTGAAGAAGGTGTGACATCACTTCCTATGATAAAAGATTGAGTTGTGCCATTGTGTTGATTGGCTATTCCGGAAGAAGAAAGGGATGACAGTCTGTCAGGTACTGAAGCACTAGCATTCGGATTACTAACAGAAATGAAAGAAGTTGACGTGAAAGAGTCAAAAAATTCTGCTGCCGATGAACTTGAACTGGCATCATCTGTGAAAAATTTGCTGAGGCTAGGACTAGGGTGTACTCCAAATAATGATGGCTTATTAGGAGTATCAATAATTGTCCCAAAGCTAGGAGATTTCACCATCTGGGGTTCATAACCATCTGCTTTCAAAGGAGCATGAACCTGGGATTTAGACTGATTGTCCTGACTAAAAATGGTGCACACTGGTAGATGTTCATCCTTGGACAATTGGATGCTAACTGGCACCAGTGTTTGCTTCTCCTGCAATTCTGAATCAACCAGGCTTTCAGATCCATTTTCATGGCTTTGATTTGTTATTTGATGCTCTTCTTCTGACTTGACTGCTAGTTCCAGATTTTGTGGAGTAGACTTCACATCTTGTATTGGAGACCGTTCATCAGCATCATGTACAACAGAAGATGCGAGTTCACTATCTTCACCAGAAGACTCTTTACAATCTTTATTCTCTGAATCCATTGACTGATCACCGCATCCCATCTCTAAAGCCTCTTCACAGTCATGCAGGATTGCTAGATCTCCTGCATAACCCTCACTATTACTAGGTGAATCAGATATTATTACACTCTCCATCATCTGATCATTAAGTTTATCCATGAGATTCACTGAACATGCATTAGATATTTTATCAGTTGGCTCAGAGATGAATGCATCTGGACCTAGATCAATATTTTCAGTTCCAAACAGCAATTGCTGCTGAGTTTGAGATTCTTGTAGCATTGCGTTCACATGCTCTTCATCGTTAACCTCCTCATTAATGCTCAATGTTATTGTATCAGTAACCGGAGGGTCGAGTTGAAGATCTTCCATCTTTTCCTGTAACCAAAGTGCACAAATTCAGTAATTACCTATAGAATTCTGCTACAATTGTGCAAGGAAGTTATATTCAACAAACAAATTATGTTGGCCCAGATGTTGTGGTCAGCATCAAGGTGATTACACCAACCTCAAAGGAAACAGCTCACAAGAGACCAGCAATATCTGTTGTCCCAATTTCAACTCTTCCAATGTTAAATTTGATTCTAATGACAGCTATCAGGAATCGGACATTAATGATGCCATCAAATAGATTAAGCAGTGAACCTCACACTGAAGAATTAAGATGTTGCCAGTCTGGAAATAAAATTATTGTTTATTTTAAATCCTTTCGTAGACAGCAAATTGAAGATTGCAATACAGAATTAACAAAACAAATGTGAAACAAACTTTAAAAAATATTATCAATATTTTTTCATCATGATGAAGAAATTTGACATTCCTAAATATGAAATTAGAGTTCATGTAAGAGTAATTAAAACATAACGAATTGTTAAAACCTAGTCAAAGGAAGGTAAAGGTAAAATCGCCAGACTCTTACATTAGAGAGATGGCTGGTGGTGGTTTAACATACCACCTCAGGTGAGTGGAAGAGGTGAGAAGGAGAGTCCTTCATGGCAAACTCAGCCAATATAGAACGGAACCTAAGTTGTTGGTGTCACTCTGCATCTGCGTTAACCAAATCCCTCTCGCTGAACAGGGAAGACCTTTATTCATGATGGGATGGAGTGGTGGGGGTATTGGGAAATTACAGTCAAATGCAACATAAAAAAGGGTATGTTCACATCAATTCAAGCTATTGCCAAAGACTTCTATTTACAGGTTTTCGATAAACATCCTATGGAGGACTGAAAAAGCATGGACAGCAACTTCTGGGTTTCCACATTTAACAGCACTTATGTAGAGAAATGACTGTTCACTTCACAGTTGTAACAACAACAAACACTACCACCTTTGTGGTCATTACGAATACAAAATTCAGCCTATTAAAAGTGGTAGCATGAGCTAAATTCAAACATAGTATTTTTAGACTGATTAAAACCATATTGTACAAAAAAAGCATTTTATAGATATTTTATAAAAACATTTATAAAACACTGGTTAGACAACAACTGGAGTATTGCATGTAGTTCCAGCTGCTGTTGTAATTGGCATTCCTTTCAATTTGAGGATGATATTTACTCAGAGTCTTGAGTCTTTTCCACTGGGCTTCATGTCACAAAACAGGCATACCTTTGGAAAAAATTGAGGGTGCTTGACAGGATGAAGAGGGGTTTTGCCAAAATGATTCCAAGGATGAACATTTTAGTGAAAAGATGAGGGTTGAGAAGATGGGTTATTCTCTCTGTGGCAAATAGGACTAAGGGTAGATTTTATCGAGGTATACAAGCCTATGACAGGTTTAGATCAGGTAGACAAAGAAAAGCTGCTCCTATTAGCAGATGGTACAAGGGATAGGGGACACAGATTTAAGGAGTTGAAAGAGATGCAGGGTTACACTAACAAGAATTTCCTTTGTGCACCAACTGGAAATGATCTGGAACTTGTTATCTATGAGGATTGCGGGAGTAAAGATGATGAATGATTTCAAAAGGAAGTTGGAAATAAACTTTCAGGGCCACCTGGATGTGAAGTTGATTGGATTGCTGTAAAGGGCTGGCACAGTATCGTTGGGCTGAATGGCCTCATTCTGTACTATCACACATTGGCTGGTCATTTTATAACCTAGAATTAACAATGAGTCTGTACAAAGAAAGAAAGACTGACACTCTCATTTTTAAACCAAGAGTGAATTACAGTTCTACAAATATTTGGCGTGAACAGAATTATGGTGTATAGTGGGATAATGGAAACTAATCCAGCGTGCCATTATGAAATTTAGTTACATATCTAATATTTCCATCAGACGTTCCCTACATATTTTCCTTCTGTTTTAGGTCATTCAAACTCAATAAATAGCAAAATAATTGTCATGCATCACCCCCTGCCCAGTGTTAAACAGAACATTTCCTTACTTGTCAAATGACTACATGAAATGTCTATCATTGAACTGAGTAATTTTAAAAGATTTATGAATCTGGAGACATGGTGATGAACATTTCAAAAAGAAAAAAATCGACAACACATAATCCTACTCTTGAATCTAATATTAATAGACTCTTTACTGATCAGATTACAAGTATTAAATAAAACAGAAGTGCACATCACAACGTTAAGAATGAATGGACTTTGAATTATCTCACATACCTTCAAATCAATCTTAGGTGTTGGTTCACTGTTGGCTTTACCATAAAGTTGCGAGAGAGAAAACTGAAATCTACACAAGTGTTAGCTTTATAGAAGTAGTAGGGAAAATGTTAGAATCTATTATGCATGATGGGATAAATAGACATCTCATTGATAACAAGGTGCAGGGCTGGATGAACACAGCAGGCCAAGCAGCATCATAGGAGCAGAGAGGCTGACGTTTTGGGCCTAGACCCTTCATCAGAAAAGGGGGAGGGGAAGTGGGTTTTGA